CCCCTGAGGAGGCATACCCAAGTGAGTCTGCGGCTTTGTACCCGCCCTGTCTTGACCGAGTTGTTCCCACCCCTGGGCAAAGGCACGTGCGCCTGGCAGGGACCCAGGACCAGAGGCAGCGCACCTCTGCGTTCATGTCTCTGCTGTTCCTTTAGGTAAGGAATGTGTCCTTCAGGATGGTGATGGAAAGACGAAGAGCACATTCTGCCTGGCCAGCACTCTCCCTCCTTCTCCTGCCCCCACACAGGCCAGTGCCAACAGGAGGAAGTCATGGTTGCATGGTTGAAATATCTATTATTTTTCCCTGGAGTTGAATGAGTCATTCTTTACTAAAGAGATTCTCAGCTGTGGCCATGTTTTCTAGAACAGTGCTGCTTGTTATCCCACGTCTATATGATGACAGGAGAGCGTGTCAGGAAGAGGAGCTGATTCGTGTAATGGAAAATCAGTGTCCTTTTTAATGATCTGTGTTTCAAAAGAAGGGATTGGGAGAGACGGCAGCCTTTCCTGTTTGACTGAGGGCTGCTCCCAGAGGACTGTGCTTCTCAATGCAGTCTTTGTGTCCTCGCTGACGTCAGAAGCTGATTGTATTCATGTGTTTCTCAAGGCCCAACCTAGAAAGCAATTTTAACTCTGCCATCGAATATTCATGAGAAGACAGGCTTTTTTGTTTTGATGCTACATTCTTTAAGTAGAGAAGGTTTCATTGTTTTCTTGGGGCACTGTGGGTCAAAAGCACCAGCAGCTTGCCGAACTTTCGGCATTTCCAGTGGTTTTGATGCAGAGATAGCCCAAGTCCGGTTTGACGCAGCGGCCTGTGCTCCCCCTTGTGAGTGAATGGGGACTGTGGCTCCCACTCTGCAGCCAGCTCTCCAGCAGGCCGGGGCCTGGCGTGGCTCACAGCACCCTCCTGGCCTTCAGACGCTGGCCTGGGCGTGGGAGAACGCGTTCTCGGGAGCTCTTGGCTGGGTCTCTGCGGGTGCGGGTGTGAAGCCTTGTGTCTGTGTCCATCAAGACAACATTATTTACGGTGGGGAAGCAATAGCAGAGTCCCTTTGTGGGGCGTGCAGTGCTTGCAGCAAATGGTTTTCCAACAGCTTAGAGTGAAGCTTGGTGCTTGGCTCAGGACGGCAAACATCCTCTTCCACCTTCAGCAAAAGCGAGGAAATGCTTCCGAGAGCCTGTGACAGCTCTTTGCCCCTGACCCAGCCCTTAGTTGTGTGTTCCCTTACAGCAGTACTGTAGGCCAGGGGGGGCCGAGGAGGGGCCCCGCAGGCCCCTGGTGTGCAGCAGACGCTCAGCTGGTTCTGGTCAGCACTCAGGTGTGGATGTCAGCTCAGCTCAGCCAGCCGCCCAGAGCTCTGCAGAGCCGGGGCAGCAGGCCGCCCTGGGTGCAGCGTAGCCTCCACCTCCTCCCTCCTGCGCTTGTAGGCTCATGTTAGCAGGTGCTTAGTGTGTTTCCAGATGCTTCAGACCAGATGTCAGTTTGCATGTCCTTTTAAGTGACTGTGTGATTCTAGCTCAGGAAAACGGGAGAAAAGTTTGAGGGTGGAAACTTGCCGAGTCTGTGTGGAGTCCTGCAAAGCCGTCCATTTCATGGGCCCCCTTTGCCCCGGGACTGAGTGTCTCAGCTACCACACGGAGTTGCTGCTTTCTGTCCACGCCCTAATCCCAACCACATCCGCGTTCTGGGACTTCATCGGCGGCCTCTGCTGCTGTCTGTGTGCACCCCTGCCTCCTGCTCCACTCCCCAGCCTGCAGAGAGGCTCTGGGCAACTCCTGTGTCAACTCTGCAGCCTTCTGCTCACCCCTGCCCCACCCCTGCCCCAAGCTAGCAGTGATGCTTCCACAAGGTCCTCCAGCCCTGTACTGCCTCTGTGCATCCCCACCCCACAGCCATAGCTATGCTCCAGCCCTTGCAGATGCAGTGCTACCTTTTGACCTGGCCATTAACAAATTGCACTAGGGCCAGCCTCCTAAGACGTGTGTGTGTGTGCACGCGTGCACACGCACGCACACACGCCATGGACAGAGAGCGCTGTCTCCGTTTTACCAGTAAATAGACGTATCAGAGGAGATACTTGGCCAAGCATGGTTTTGGAGTTAGTAAAAGAAATCCCTGACAGGCTGTTATATCTTCTGTGGAATATTTCTAAAGAGATTAATACTAGACATTTCTCACAGTCTCCCAATGTCTGTGAGAATTAGAAATCGGTGATAGAGGCTAGACAGAGTGGCAGATCACCTTGAGCCCATGTTTATGGCATAGCCTTGTTTACAAGCAGGGTCCTAGGTTATATTGGCACACCAGTAAGGAGGAGACACACTTGATTCCCACACAAAAGGCCAAGAGGGGTGACTCCCTACAACAGGAAGCAATGTGGTTGTTTTATTCCCATGATTTGAATCCAGGGCCTCACACTTGCTCAGCTTGCTTGCTCAATTGATACTCTACCACTTGAGCCATGCCTCCAGCCCAGCTTTTGCTGGTTATTAGGGAGATAAAGACTTGAGAATTTTTCTACCTGGGCTGACCTCAAACCACAATCCTCTAGATCTCTGTTCCTGAGTAGCTAGGATTACAGGTACAAGCCACTGCTGTCTAGTTCTTTATGTATTCTTATTTAAGGTAACATATTATTACTTAACTACAGTAGACTCAGAGACATTATAGGCTAGTCTCATTATTCATATGCACTCAGACATTGTAAGTAAAATGGCAACAGACTAAATCCATAAGTGAATGTATCTTTGCATAACTCAGAAAAACTTATTCACAGAAAGCAGAGGCAGGTAGCCTCTAAGCCTCCACAGAGATGAACAGTGAAAGGGGACCCCGTTCTGATCTCTACAGGCTTGGGGTTTGAGGGGCAGCTAGCTCTCCAGCGTGTGACGGCCCCGCCCTAACACTGGAGCACCCTGGGAGAGTCTCCCTCGGGAAGTTGGTCACTCTCGTTTCCGAGTTTGGTTGCTCAGTTCTCCCAGGAAGCAGAACTGCATTTTGATTCCTCAAAGGCGGAGGGTGGGGGGGAGTACGTATGCTTTATAAAACGGAGATTTCCATTTTTCCCTGTTTTGTAATCAAAATAACCATGAAAGTACAGGAAGGACACGTGTGGCCCCACGTGTGTGTGTCGGGGTGCTCACTACCATCCTTCCTTCTTCTCAAGTACTCATAAATCGAGTCATCCGGCCTGCTGCTGGGTGAGAAAGCACGAGTGCCATAGATTCAGAGGAAGCAGGGGGAGCATCCCCAGAGCCGGCCAGGCGGGGAGCCCACGGCGGGCACTGGGGCCTGCCAGGCTCTCCTGACAGCCTTTGGGTTGCTTCTTCTTGGCCAGAAAAGTGGCCCAGGACAGATGCCCCTCAGTCCTAGCCATTCCCTGCTCTGTAGTCTCCTTAGCCCGGCCCCAGGGAGCTCCGAAGGGTGGTAGGCCAGGTCGGAAGCCAGGGATGACGAGCACCCACGTATGTTTTGTGTCAAGGAAGCTGAGCTCCCTTCAGGCCCCACCGCCCCCAGCTCAGGCCCCATCCTGAACTTCGCCCAGGGAGCCTTGCTCTGAAACATGATGACCCCTTCTAATGGCAGATTCCAAGCTGTAGAGAGTTCACGGTTACACTGCCTACAGCTTTCCCAACCTTGCCTGACTCGCACAAAGAGGATGGGAGGTGTGCTCCACACACCTCAACTAATAGAGCACCAGTTGTGAGTGGAAAAGGGGAACAAGAGCACAAGTCCTCAAGTTCAAGCCCTGCATGTGCAAAAAAGACAAACTATACAAATAAACAACACAGAAATGAGGTGAGTCCTCAGACCGGGGCCTCCAGCTAGTTGAGGACTTACTGCCTGGCAGGACCACACAAGTGGTGTGGTCTGAGACTACTTATGAGCTGCTTTATTGGAATTGGTGGGCTTTGGGGTTGTGGGGTGGGTGCAGGGAACTGGGGATGGCTGGGTCTCTGTCTGAGGCAGAGGCCATTTAGCTTCTGGGACTAGAAGCCCTGTGCGCTGGGCCAGGTCCTGGGCGTGCAGCAGCCATACTCGGCCAGCCACCTGGCATATAAGGTGCTGACAAGTGGGACCAGGAGTTGGGCCTCTCATTGGCTTTATTTTTTCTGAGCCTCTTCTGGTGGGCAAGCCCGCCACCTTCATTGGCCCTGGATTCAGCTTGTTGGTGGATAAAGAAAAGCAGGGGGAGGGGGGCGGTCTGTAGGGAAGGACTGCCCGAGAGCACGCCTGTTGACAATGTCATGTGGGGTGCTGGGGTGCTGATCTTTTAGAGTCATCTTTCCTCTGCATTATTTTTCTGGCCTGAATTTGGAATTGATTCGTGAGCAACAGGATTGATTCAGCTTGTGCTGTTAATCAAAATCACCTGTGGCCTTCCCTCACCGGTCCATGAGCACGGCGTCGGTCGCCGCGGGGAATGTGCTCCACAGAGCCAGGCACAGTGCATTGGCTGTGGGTAAACATGTTTTCCAAGAGAGCACTCATTTGCCATGGAAACAGGCTCTCGCTCAAGCCTCTATCTGAACTACTTGGGGGCACACACTGTTCTTGGGGCTCACACATGGCTGCAGTGGCTTCATTAGGGAAAACGAAGAAGAAAAGAACAGGCAATTTGCCCATCCAAGGGCTGGCACTTGGTGCTCTCCTTGCCTAACTGGAGGCCTTTTTTGTACTTTCCCTTTATTGACGTCACAACATGATGTCAGGTGGCCTTGGGGCCTATAATGGAGCCCTTGGCAAGGAGGGCTTCCATTCTGGGCTGGGAGCGGAAAAGCTTGCTACGTGTCTCCTGACCTGACCTGACCTTTTAACATCTTCGTACTTGTACGATGAGAGCCCTAGGGACCCCTAGGTCTTTGTTTTGAGCCTCTTGGTCTAGGGGTCGAAGCGTGGCATTGGGAAGAGGCACAGGTGCTGTTGCCGGTAGGGGTCTGGGGGTGCTGGCCTGGCCACTGCCTTGGCCTGCTCTCACGCTGTGTTCTTTCTGCAGTGGATGTGGCCACAGCACTGCCTCTGCAAGTAGCCCCCACAGCGGTGCCCATGGACCTGCGCCTGGACCGCCCGTTCCCGCTGCCCGTGGCGGAGCCGGCGCTGCGGGAGCAGCAGCTGCAGCAGGAGCTCCTGGCCCTGAAGCAGAAGCAGCAGATCCAGCGGCAGATCCTCATCGCCGAGTTCCAGCGGCAGCACGAGCAGCTCTCACGGCAGCACGAAGCCCAGCTGCACGAGCACATCAAGGTGAGAGGCCAGGCGGGCTCAGGCAAGTCTGCTTCCTTCCCTCACGGGGCCAGAAGACGCCACTTTACCAGGTGCTCTCTGGGAGACCCCTGCTTCCTTCTGCCTCAGAGTCTGTCTTCCGTGGGGCACAAGCCCTCTGCACTACAGGTTCATCCCTGAGAAGCTGGTGCAAGGGACCCCACCCGCCAGTCTTTCTATGCCAAACACACTCACGTGCTTTGTGGAGGACGCAGGGTGTGGTGGCTCACAAGACTCTCCTAAAATACACTAAGAGTAGCAAGACTGCCAGCAGGAAGACACACTAAACTAGTGCCAGTCACCCCAGGGGGGTCCCGCCTTGTTTTCTTCTTTGGACTTTGCTCAGTTTTTTCCATTGACGTTTAATAACTGGCAAAAGATAATGTTTTCTTTTAATTTAAGATTAATAAGAAAACTTCTCACAAAGACCTCTGTCTACAGATGTTCAATATGATCCCAGATTTGAAAACTGAACAAATTGGAAAAGGAACACGAATGATTGATATCCAGGGAATCACTCTTGAGATTCAGTTTTGTGATTATTTTGTGAGGTTGGCAAGCTGTTAAGCCTGCGATCGTGATCTTGCTCACTGTGGTAAAGCTGTGCAGGGCAGCGCTGTTACACTTGTGTAGATAATTGCAAATTGTGTAGTAGTCACATTAGACAAGAAAGCCCCCCCCCCCACCAGGTTGTAGCAGTTACCCCTTAACGGTATCAGCAGCAAACACACAGTTTCTGTGGTTCAGGAACCACTGTGGTCCTGATTGGCTGTAGGCATTGTGGAGGGTATGGCCAGGCACCCTGAAGTTGTAACCATTGTTGGTCAGGGGGGTCATGTCTGAGGGACCAGCTGGACCATGGCTGGAGGGTGGTACCCAGAAGCCTTACGTCCTCATCCAGGTGTTTGTCCATGGCCTGGTAGTACCTTTCCCAGAGCACAGGACTGAGTTGGGGGCCAGACAGAGCATCTCGAGGGCCTCACCTAAGTATGGCGCACCACCTTGGCACGTTCCTCCGGGCACCTCAGCAGCCTCATGCATTGTGGGAAGTCTTGGAGAAGGGATTCTGCCTGGGTGGCGTGGCAGGCGGTCTCTTGCTCAGAGCCATTCCCCAAGTCAGGGAGCCCACTCGAGCCCAGCCTGCCTGGAAAATGGGCCCAGCAGCAGCTCCCCGAGAGGGCACCTCGAGAGGCTTGTCCCCAGCCTCAGTCCTAATGAGGTGAGATCTGGGAAGCTTCATCCTGGTCTCTGAGTGCTGCATTGGAGGCCGGGCGTTCGGCGTTTCACTGTCTTGGGGGTAACCGTCTCTGCTCACACTGCCCGGTACTCTTCGTCTGGAGGGGCTGCTGAGGGCTCCACATGCCCCAGACCTGCTAGTTGGTGGAGTGAGTCCATGTCAGGCCTGGGCCTGCTGGCGAGGGCTTTGCTCTGCTGGTAACTGCCCAGTACTCCGTGCTGCAACAGCCCAGACCCATGTCCACTGGGAGCACTGGTGTCCAGGACTGGGTATTTCAGACTGGCCTCTGACAGTTGGTGGTGAAGTCTTTCCAGGTAATGCCCACCTGCCCTCATTGTGCTGGCCTTTCTGCAGCTGACTGAGAAGGGACTCAAGACTGTCTGAGGCACTTCTTGAGCACCAGCTTCACAGTTCTTAGATCTCTCATGTCCTGCATATGGCTAGCCCTCACAGAGCTTACGTGACTCATCCCAGATGTCTTGTGACCTGGGGCCACGACAGGCCCTTCTCATCCTCTCACTTTAAACACGAGGAGGAAGACCACCTCGCAGGGATCACAGGCCGGTAGCACGTTCCTGTCCTCTCAGAGGTCCTGCTCTGTGCTGCCACCTGCAGGTGGCTGACTGCACTGCAGCACTAGGTGGACCTGTAGAGCCTGGAGCTTCCTACTGTCATTTTGAGAATCCAGCTAGAGTAGCAGGTTCCACAGTCAGCTCCAGGCCTCTCTCTGGGGATCTGGCTTTGTGGGCTAGGTCAGCTCTCCCAGGGACCTGCCTGACCTGGTGCAGGCATCTAGTGTTGCGCGAGGGCTGGCCCACGCCCTCTACGCCCCCACAGTGCTGAAAAACCCCCTCTCATGATGAGGCTGACTAGTTTGGAAGGGCACCATGTGAGTGCACATGGGCTCCTGCAGACCCGTCGGGAGCCTGGCTGTGGACAGGCTGAAGGGGCTACCTGCTCAGTGCTCTTCTCCCTGGGTGTTCCCGCCCGTATCTACGCCTGGCTCGGTTGTGCACACCACCAGAGCCTGAACCTCAGGCTCTGGCCTTGTGGTGCAGAGCAGTAGCAAATGAACTGTGTCCAGTCCAGCTGGACACCTTTCCAAGGAAGGGAGTGGGAGACTGAGACTCAGAAATGCACACAGTTTGAGGCCAGCCTCAGCAGGAAAGGTTCATGAAGCCCCTTGCCGGTCCGTGGCTTGGGGTGGAGGCAGTGGCATGTCTGGCATCCAAGCCGTGTGGAAGCAGGGGTGAGCCAGGCCAACCTGGGTGAAAGGTCTCTGAGACCCCAGCTCCAGGAGCGGGACTAGATGCTCCCCAGACAGCATGAGAAGCCTGAAGTGGGCTGATTGTGGCTCAGGTGTGTTCCCAGATGAAAAGCAAGACTCAACCTAAAACGACCAGTGAAAAGCAGGGCTGGAGATGTGCTTCAAGTGATCGAGTATCAGCCTCTAACCACAGTAGCACAAAGGACCTGCCTCCACGCCCCGGGCTGTAGTTCCCCCACAGTGCGGGTCTGGAGAGGCCTGAGAGTCCATTCCTGGCTAAGCAGCTGACACTGGACTGGTATCAACAGACCCTCTGAGACACGGGGGCTCCCAGACCTTCCAGTGGAACCAGTTCAGGGGGCTGGGTTCCAGGAAGCACTGAGAGCTCTAGGTTACATTTCATTCAAGGTTTTAATTGTTTTATTTTTTCATCAAAATGGAGATCATAAAAGCCTTTAAACTACATCATTGTATCATTACATTAGCAGGCTTTTGTTTTGATGATTTAAAGTCTCTTCCTGCAGTCATATTGTTAACGGCATTTGGCAGTGGTGTTTGTCAGACAGATTTCTTGAACATACAATCTAATTAGTGTCATTAAATCATCAGTGAATTTGAATAGAATTTTATAATTGGAATGGGAGTAGTTTTAAAAATATAACTTAAATTGCTAATTTTGGGTAAATCAAGGCTTGGTAAGAATTTTAAATGCTCAGTGCTCAGGATTAAGCTTGAACTTGAAATAGCTCCTGTGCTGTCCATATCAACCTCAGCTCTGCAGTCCTGACTCCCCTCCACCCTCCACAATCAGTTCCAAGTATGTGTATCTAGAGGAATTGTGAGGCTGTTATATGCTAGGTAGATTGGCTTGCTGTATTACTGAAGAAGCATAGATTCTTGATGTTTACAGTTGAAAAACAGTGCAGATGAGTAGTAGCACAGCCCTGCCCCTCCTCTGCTCCTCAAGAGCCCCAGGCCTGGAACTGGTTTGAGGCAGGTAGCCAGCCTTAGCTTTGCCCTTCCACGGGGACTGATGCAGCATTTTTCTCCTCACCCTGGTCCTTGTGATGTGTACACACTGCTCTTCTGTAGCCTCTGTGTGCTTTACTTCACCTGGCCTTGTGGCTGAAGAACTGAGTGTCACATCGCTATTACTATTCCATACAGCTGAGCCCTGCAGCACAGAGGTCGACGACCTTTCTCAGCCACTCTTGGTTTCCTAGAGTTCCCAAATTTCCCCTTTCCATTCACTGATCCCTTCCATATACTGCTGTTGACACAAACGGAGTACCACAACTCAAGGTACCTGTGGCAGCCTGAAGTGAGTGACCAGCTGTCTGTGACAGAGAGAAGAAAAAGGGAACAGGCAGCCATTGGGACACAAGATATTCCTGCCAGAGCAGACCACAGATGTATGTATCCCGAAAGGCTCAGGCAGGGGCATCTCAGAAAGCATCTGAGTGGCTTTGTAACACAGGGCCTGTTGGCAGGGCTGGTGCTAAGCCGGCCCCTCCGTGGATGGTGCTGTTAGCCAAGTGTGCTTGGACAGGGGCTAATCTGTGTCCCTCCCTAAGCCTGAGCCAGGTGCTCACCTGGACACCACGGGTCCTTGATACTCCTTGTGCACAGTACAGGCCTCTTCTGTTCCTCGTCTTTTCTGCACTTCCCTGGTTGCTCGTGTGGACAACCGTATTTCCATATCCTGAGTGGCTATTTGTAGTTTTTCTACTAATTTCATTTTTTCATCTATACAGAGGCACTTCTTATGAATAAGAGTATTATTTGAACTATTATATGTTGTTCTTTGGATGTTTCATTGCAAAATAGTTATCTACTTGTCTTGCCCTTATTCACAAGTGAAAATGTTCTTTTTTGGTAGACTAAAAACAGCACCTCTGCCTCCGGCTGAGGGTGTACATGTTTGCCTCTGTGTCCGGCTTGCAGTGTTCTTGTGTGAGCACCTGCAGCTTTGATGGAAGCCTGTGGATCGGCCTTGCTTCTCTCTTCTTCCCTCATGGTGGTCCTAAGCTTGCCCACTTCTCCTTCCAAATGTGCCAGACCATTCCAAAGTTTCCAAAGTTGGTCTAGAAATGTGTTAGAATAGCCATGATAATAACCACTAGTGAGTTTCTAGTTTAGGAACATGATTTTCCATCCTTAGTGGACACCTTGTTTTAATTTTCTCTTATAATGCTTAAAGGTTTTAGATTTAAGTATTAGGCACTTTATATTTTTGCTTCTACAGTTAGTATATTTGTCTCTTCAGTCTTGCCTTCTCAGTTACTATCAGCATATAGACAAGCTCTGGGTGTTACGATTTTATTTGCTTACTACCAATATATAGAATTTTTTTACTAGTCCTAATAATTTTTAATGGATTATTTCATGTTTTCCTTGTTGATAATGCGACTTACAAATGATAACTGTGTCCTTTAAACTAAAGCATCCAGAACAATGTCAAGATCTTGGCAAATTTTG